GAAACTCTCCTGTTCCCAGTCCTCTCCCACCAACTGTCCGTCTTGTTTATCCCCAGGGACTGCCTGCCCGCCCACCTGGGGAGTCTGTCCTTGAGATAAGCATGTCCACTTCCCTCATCTCAGTGTCTTGGCTTGGCCCACATTCCCAGGCCTCACTCCACTTCTTCTTCACCCTCTGAGTCTGAATCCTTCCAGCCAGCAGTCCTTGAGAACGAGCTTCCAATGCATCCATCTCTCTCACTCCCAACAATAGTTTACCTTGATCTGACATAGGGCAGATTAATAACATTAACAACCCACTTGGAAAACTGTCTTGGTGTGTGCCTAGTGATGCAACAGAGTCGGGGCTTGCTGGATCTCAGCACCGGGGCTCTTCAATGGGCTGGGATGATGCCAATGTCACCTACACACAGTTTTTCCAGAGACAAGTCATAGTGGCTTAAACTGTTCTGAGACCAAACCCGAATGACAGGGCACCATGTCATGCAAACCTGGTGAGAGTAGTTGGCACAGCTAACCAGCCACTCAGCGTCCATGAACTGGTTTAGCTTTGTGGGTGATTTGTGTGGACGCAGTGCATTTTGCACAGCATGGCTTAACATTCATGAAGAAGCTGACCTGAGAAACTGTAGTTTGCTCTATGATTCTTCATACCTGTGGTGAGTTCTCAGGTTGCAGACAAGCTAATTTGTGCACAGTTGACAAGGACCATCTGGGAAATAATGCTAAGGGACAGAAAGAACCCACTTGCACAGTTGAGAAGCCCCCCAAAGGAGAACACCTGCAAGTCCAGTTAGTGCCCCAAAAGGGGGGGGGGGCGCCGTGCCAGCTGGCAATGTGGGCCTTTCATTTCTGTGAGTTGAATGGACACTTGTCCTTCTCCCATTCAGCACTGCCCTGGGTATCCAGCAAGTCCATATATTGGTTCACCTCCACCTTTTTCTGGTTCATTTTCAGAGCACTTTCCCCAGTTTTTGACTTGATATAGACCGGGACATAGACAGCACAGGAAGTTTAGGTAAAAATCATCGGAGAGCAGTAGAAAAGAGAGGAAATCTGTGAAACTTTTCCAGTTGCTGTCAGTCACTCCTGTGCATTTGCGCAAGAGGATTGACCATAGGAATTAAAAAATGGAACTTATGAATGGAGCAAATGTGCTGCACTTACTACAGTACCAGTTCCAAAAAGGAGCTGTGAAAAGGAAAGGAGCCTATACCCCCCCCCCCCCGGACCTACTGGAAACTCAGGAAGATGCTGAATGGGAAGACCAAAGGGTTGGGGTGAGGAGGTAAGATGGGCTCTGATGCAAAGGCACCTGGGATTTGTGCCGCTACTGGTTGGAGAACTGTGGGGAAGGAGAGGGAGAACAAGCCATAGCAAACCCAATCATCTGTCAGGTATAACGAGGGTTGTTCGTTGAACAACCAACCCATGATGGCCTTCAGGGCGACTTAGCATGACAGGTGAGCTTGTCCATTGTGTGAGAAAATCTCATTTTTTGCCATTGCATGTGTTTAGAGGCTGCTCTGTGCTATGGCCTTTAAGATGCAATTGCAACAATACGGGCTCATGCAAATTTTTATATGTCAGGTACAGAAAGCTTGTTCTCCTATGCAAAGGAGAAATATCATGCATGAGGTAGCTCCAAGACCGCAAATAAGAAAATGCTCATCCATTTGGTCATTCATATTTAATATGCACACTTCTGTGGGCTTGAATACAGTTAAAATTGCCCTTTCCTGTTACAGTATCACACATATTGAAATGGGTTCTTTAAAAAGCTGCGGTAAGGGCAAAATGTGTGCTACTGTGAAAGGAATCCATAATCTCCGATCCTACTCTAATCATGTTTTCATGGAAAGCCAACTGATTTCATTTGCATTCATTTATATAACTTTAGTATTAAATCCTTGCATCTCACAACCCTCTACAAACCTTCCTGGAATAGGCACAGATGAACTCCATGATCTTTATTTCAGGACAGACATGTATAGGGTTGCCCTGTCTATCCTTCAGCAGATTCCAGTCTTGGTAAACTTCATGGTTAAAAATGCTTTGGAAATAGGAGTTGCCAAAGGAAGGGATCACAGGACCTTCATTTCATCAGTAGCTTTGCAGTCCTGATAGTTTACAGCCGATTAGCCATGCCATGCTACATGTGTGAGGACTGAAACTCTGCCACTGTCTGCTGTTGCATTTTAGCTTATTAAGCCATTCTTCCTGTAATTTGATTTGGAAATGAAAAGGCTGGAAAGATCAGAGCATCCCCTCCAGCAGTAAAAGAGGAAGGCAACAAATCATTCTTGTTCACAAGAAACCACAGAGATTATTAGAACATCCTCCGACAATCCAAAAAGACCATGTGGGGGACCCTTGCTATTCCCAACTTCACATGCGTTTTTACATTCATATGCATTCGGTTGGCAGCATGCCGCCCAGAAAGGAGAACTTCCTCTGGCTGGAAATAATTTCTGAGCCCTTCTTAAAAGCTGCACACAAGCCAATTAACTGCTACCGTGTGCTTTCTGCTGTCACGTAGGGGCAAGGTGACTCAATGCTGACTCACTGAATTCTCTGCCAATGGAATTCCCAGCCTCTCAGCTGTTTTTCAGCCAGCCTATCTCCAGCAACTGAAAGACACTCCTTGGCTGTGGTAAACCAGCCTGCCCCAAATCCACTTCAATCCAGTTTGCTCGTCAGCATGTTTGAGCGTTTCTTCAGTAAAGTGCTCCAAACAGAGTGTGGTTTCCTCCTCAAGGAACTAAGAAACAAAGTTAAAATATGATGTATGTTTAAGGTTTTAATCTTTGTAAACTGCCCAGAAAGCTATCAAGTTATTGGGTGGTATAGAAGTATAGTAAATTAAAGGAAAATGAAGCTATAGCCCAGCACTAGAATGACTTCTCCATACATCAGTCAAGATGGCCCTTTCTTGAGAAATGGTTGCCAAAGAAAAACTCATTTCCCTCCTACCCTACCCCCTCTCTCTTCCTCTTTCTCTTTTTCTCTCATTCCAGATTTTGGCTCTGTTTTCAGATGCTATCGTTGCTATACATCTGATTATCAACTAAACTGCCTTTGCCAATGACGCAAACCAGGTGTGGATTTGACCTTATGGTTGAGAATTGGAGAACAAATGATAGCAGTATTTGCTCACTTGTTCATTGTCAAAGGGCAGCTAACAAGCATTGTACCGAGAACTATTCTGTGGGCAAAGAGAACTGAACGCAAGCCTGTGAGTGTCAACAGATTGGCAGACATCTTCTCTGCTAGTTGTGCAGCTCCACTGTGGAGAAATCAACTTTTCATGGTCAAGCTATGATTCTTTTAATACATCTCTTACCTTTAATATGTACTGTCAAGCTAGATGTTTTCTTTAATGCATCTTACTCAGCATAAGGCTTTTGACCTGGAAAAGAACCTCTGCTCAGCACACTTGTCATTCCCATGAAACTACCTGACCCCTTGACATGTAATTAGAAATGGGAAAATATTTTACAATGCTATAATAATATTAACAATAATACAAATTGGAACAAAATCATGGATCTTGGCAAAATTCAGTTCTCCATGCTACAAATGCTACCAGCAATCTGGTGAGAGGCATGTGTAATTTTCTTGTGATATTTTGGATAATGTCTTTAACACAAGTCAGAAGATCCAGCCCTCCCTGCCCAAGCTGTAGGTTTTAAAGTTTCCTAAATGCCAAGCAAACACGTCTCCACTGTTCTGTGAGTAGTCAAGAACCGTTTTTCTTCTAAGGATTGCATTATGCTCCTTCCCCAAAGAAATTCACAGTCTCTTCTCCCTCTTCCTCCATGATATCATAACAACTACCCTGTGAGGTAGGCTCAGCTGAGAGAGAGTGACTGTACCTAGATCATGCAGAGAACTTCCTGGCCGAATGCAGATCAAATGTGTGTCTTCTCAGTCCCAATCTGACACTCCAGCCTAGCCATCCTCAAACTAGTCGACACCAGATAAATTGGATTATGACTCCCATCACCCCTAGAAATCATGGCTATTGTAGACTGGCCTTCCTCAATTTGGTGTCCATGCAATATTTTGGACAACTTCAGCCCCTGCCAGCATGGCCAATGGACAGGAATCCTAGCAGTTGTGGTCCAAAACATGTTGTGGAGGGCATCAGGTTGTGGAATATTGCTGAAGTCTAGCAGCATCCATTGCAGCTCAGCCCATCTGGAGAGCAGCAGGGTGGTGAAGGCTGCTCAGACCACTCTGCTGAATTGGCATCTGGAATTGCTGGGGCTTGAACTGGGAGTCTCCGGGCCTGGTTGGTGAGCCACTGAACTGTGCTACAGCCTCTATAGAGCTTACGTCTTTAGGGCCTGCACTCTCTTCCCACCCAGGCTGGTGACATATGGAAGGGAACATATATCCTCGGGCCTATCTCAAGGGAAACATGGTGTGCTTCTGGCAGCGACACTCCAGCTGTCCTCCCTGGTGGCTGTTCCTGGTGTTGGAAGGACCACAGCCAGATACTCTGTTGCCAACAGGGCCAGGAGGATCCCATCCCTGCCTTGCCCTAAGTGTCTCTCAGAGTGAGGCATCAGCCTGCATAGCGCTTTGGAGAGCCCCTTCAGTTTTCAGAGTAAGAAAACGCTAGCGTAGCTCTCGGGGCACTGCCTGCCTGATGCATACCTTTAAGAGCAGCTCAGAACTAGGCATCAAATGCATTCTGTGGGAAGCCCTGCAGGAAGCTAACGTACCATGACAAATCCTGCAGCAAAAAGGCTGCTGTGCAACTTTGCAGAGTCTCCTGGTCCAGGTGCCATGCTCTAGGGGCTGTTTCTGGATGAGATGGCTTTGAGGATCATCAGCACAGGCAGGGTGCAAGGCCAACTCGCCCAGACTGCATCACTGCTAGGAAGGTAGAGATGTGCAAATCAGCGAAAGACAAGCTTGCCAAATTCCATCTTGAAGGCTCATTGCAACTTAAGTCTAGATCAGGTTGCATGCTTGTTTTGTTTTGTTTTGTTTTGTTTTCCTTTGCACATGAAAATCTTCCATATTTTCATGCTTATTTTCCAGATATATACATTAACTATGACAACCTTTGAAATGCACATTTCTTCGCCCATAAATTGTATTTGTGCCTATTTGTCCATATGCTCTTGAACACTTTCTTGTTCATTTTGCAAGCTTGGCAAAGTACATACTTTAGCATGGGCTTTGACCAAGTCTGTGCTTGGTCAAGAAGGCGTAAACCGAGTTAATCCTGATCAGAACAGGATTACAACAGGGTTCTCATCCATCTTTTTGAAGCAAGGCATAGGGCAGGTGGGTAGTGGAGGTAACATGCCACCAAGGAGTGTAAAAGAAGAGGAAGATGGTGGCTGTAGCTGAGGAGGAGGAGGAGGAGGAGCATGGCAGTGGCCATGGCAACTGGCTTTCCGGCAAAGACTTCTTCACCTGCTGTACTGAAGCTCACATTTCCTGTTGCCTGTTTAATAACAAGGCAGCAAACAGACTTTTCCCAAAAGGCAGGCCCATCCCTGTTGAATTTGTACAATTGGAATTTAGCTGCTTTTTAAGCCTGTTCACACACATTCTTACCAAAACTGGTTTCCTCAACAGCCCCGGCTAATGGGCATCACCAATATTTGCTCACGTCTGAAATACACTCCTGTATTTCTTTGTTCTGTTCAGAAATTATCCCTTTTCAGCTTCAATTTTCTCAGATTTCACACCCTTTCATTATATCTATCACTGTTTTAAACACTGACAGCTGCACAGAAATAGAAGCTATTTCAGTATACACTCCACTGCTAAGGGCTATTCAGAGTTGAGAGCATAAATCCTCAATGTTTGCCTACCCCCACTTTTTTTTTGGGGGGGTGTCTTTGTTTAACATCATAGTAAACATTGGCAGCAGGGATTAGGAATGGATTAACTGGTATAGCCTTACTGAGGCATTAAAAAAAACCTAACTGGGGAGAAGACATAGGGATGCACATTCTGCCCCCTCCCCACATTTACCACTGACCTTCCAGTGTTGACAGGAAAGACCTGAAGAGAAAGATCTGTAGAAACCATGGAAGAATTACAGGCACTGCAGCTAGAAGCCATTGATGGCCATATCCACAATTTCATGCATGAAAGAACAGGAAATGAATGTTGCTTAGTGAAGTCCTACTGAAATAGTCTGCTACGCATGTTGCTGCAACTGTTTTTGTTTGCATTCTTCTCTTTACATAAAGACTTCCAAAAATGGGATCCCATCTTCCAGACCAGGAGTAGGCAAAGCTTTGGGACTGTGACAATTTGAGCAACTGTTCTGAGCACTTCCACAAAACGACAGCTGTGGAAGGCATGTTAAAGGACAACTAACCTGCCCAAAGTGCAGGGTACAAGCTGTGTTCAAGAGATGGATTCTGAGCCGCATCACATGAAATAACACCTTTAAACCCACAGCTTTCAGCACAAGACAAACCTATTTCACATCAGCCTCAGCTACCAGTAAGAAAACGTTTCTGTATTTTTTAAGTGGGAAGAGTTAAGCACCTTGACAGCTGCCAAGAAAGGTGTTGAGGAGGTGTTGCTGTCAACGGGTACCATATTGCCTACTCCTGTTCTAGACCTATTCCTGGCCTCCAGTCTCATAGAAAACCCATGTACAAGCTCATACATGTTCCTATGAGATCCACACACCCACATATAAGCAGTCTTCAGCCATTGGCAAATACAGAGTCTGGCTAAGAAGATGATCCTCCATCCAGAAGATGATCTCCACACACATTCAGACACTGTTGAAGGAGGAAATGGTTTACAACAATTCAAATACACAAGCTGACTGTGGGGGAACTAGCTAAAGAATTGCATTTGTTCACACTTACGCCAGTTTGGGGATGTGCTGGCATTCATCAGATTATACCTGGATGGGGAATTAGCTGCTTTCTTGGCAAAGCTGGCCCAAAAGTGAAAACAATGCATGACCTAGAGACAATCAACATAACAATAGTTTTCCCTATAACCTTAAAGCAGAATAAAAGTGCTTTCCCTCAATAGATTTTAGAGGGATTTTATTTTTCTGGAGGCTTTTGCTCCAACTCTTGGCTTTCAAATAGACGAAAATAACCTGTAGTTAAACTCATTTCAAGCCCCAAACTGTGTCCTTTCTTTAGGATCACAGAAGTATCCCAGAGGATTTTGTTATGCAAATTTGAGAACATTTTATATCCTGAGCATTTTTTGGTTTATACAATGAAAATTGCAAAAGGGAAGAGGCTGAAATTCAGGGACAGTGTTTATGACCCCACATTTGACAATGTGCCAGAAGGACTAAACTATAGTCTGCCTATTTGTAAATTGCACAGCACAATGTGAGCCTGGGGTGAGAAAGTCACCCCATGAGGCAAGATGAAAGCTCATGTGCTCCTAATTACATCACCAGGAACATGGCAAGGCCTCCCCCACCTCCTTTCACTGACTTCTACTCCAAAATAAACCTGGCAGCAATATGAGTGCTTGCTGTTGCAGCAGCAAAAACAGTTACCAGGGAACCTGGGAATAATCAATTCCAAATATCAGATGCATCACTAATTCCAGTCAAATTCTATGAAAACTGCTTTAAATTTGGGGGAAATTCCATTGCTGAAAGCAGTCTTTCACTGGAAAACACACATTCCCACTTTAACGATCAATGCTGCTACTGAAACTGAACTAAAGTAAATGAAAATAACGTGCTGTCTGTGTCTGCAGTTACCTAAGATGAACCTACTTTATGAAGGCAAGTCACCTTACATCTAGGAAGTTTACAGTTGGTTTAATAATGTTACAGGAAAGTGTTGTTGCTATGTGCTGTCAAGTCATCTCTGACTTAGAGTGACTGTATGAATGAAAGTAATCCCAAATGTCCTATCCATGACAGGCACGCTCAGTTCCTGCAAATCCAAGGCTCTGACTTCCTTTATGGAGTCAATCCATCTCATATTTGGTCTTCTTTTCTTCTTCTGCCTTTGGCTTCCTCTAGCAGGATGGTCTTCTCCTAGGAATATTACCTTCTCACGATGTTCTCAAAGTAGGACAGCCTCAGTTTTTGTCATTCTTGCTTCTAGGGACAGCTCTGGCTTGATTTGATCTAGGGTCCACTTGTACTTCTTTCTGTTGGTCCGGATTATTTGCAAATCTCTCCTCCAGCACAAGAAAACTGTAGAATATAGAAAACACCTACAAGGATTTCATTCCATTCACTAAGCACACAACCCTATGTATGTTTGGACAGGGAAAACTCCTACATTCTTGGGGTCCACCACCAAACTGTCCTTCCAACCTTTCCTGGAGGAATACCTCAGATGTTGATTACTGGATATGGGTAGCTTCATACCTATTATTATTTATTATTCTCTTTACATTTATGCCCCGCCTTTCTTACCTTTCTTCCTTTTACAGGAACCCCAAGGCAGCGTACAAGGTTCTCCTTCTCTCTATTGTATCTTCACAACAACAAGCCTATGGGGTAGTTTAGCCTGAGTCTGTGACTGGCCCAAAGTCACCCAGAGAGACCCATGGTTAAGTGGGTACTAGAACCTGGAGCTTCCAGAGGCCCAGTCCAACACTCTAACCATTATGTCACTATGCCACACTGGCTCTAATGCAGTCCTAACGTTCATAAATATTTATAGGTCAGAGTTTGAGGTTAGCACCTTTAATTGAAAGCAGTGCCAAAATTTCACCAATTTTGCATTCAGCAGCCAGGTGGCTTAGAGAGTTTCAGAGAAGTTTCTGAGAACTATCTATTTTGTTCTTTCAAAATTGCACAGTGACATCAGAAAAGTATTAGGATTTATGTGGTACTTTGATAAACAAATACATGTACTTGTGTCCTATTGGCATTCTGTACAAATACTAATTTGTAAAGTACATATTTCTAGAAAGTTAGATGAACAGGGTATTTCAGCAAGGACCCATGTTAAAAAAGAAATAAAAAGAAAAAAGCAAAGCAGACTTTCAGTGAAATAATTCTGCAGGCTTTGAAAATCCAGATAGGACCAGTTGAATATTGTTTACCAGCTTGGCCTGGAGCTCTGTATTAGACAGTGAGTCACCCTGTTTGCTCACACTATCTTTGCTTCATATTAGACATTTGAAACTCAAATTGCCAGAAGGCATTGAAACTGGGAAGTGTTGAGCTTTACTGTTATTACACTTTGTACTTAAATGCCCCTTACAACCAGCAGCACCTGCCTTCTTTTCTTTACTGTTCATTTAAACAAGTGAGAATTTGAAATCTTATTTTTCTTATACCTTGGAAGAAGTAGCCCTGCCGTTCACCCCCCCTTCAGAGCAGGATATCAGAATTTTCCCACTGGCTTAGGTCAAGCACTCTTATTGGCAGTAGGTTAGCTGCCTGCATACTATACAAAGGAACTGTATGCTGTAAACAGGTCTCAGACTGAAACTATGTGTTGCGTTCAGCACTTTTTATATAAGCATGCTCAGAATTGGCTGGCAGCTCACTTTCTTCAGAAATAGCAGCTAGGGGAGGGGAGATCAAAATCCAGACTGTGGGGTATGGGTGGGTGGGGGTTAACCCTTTCCCTCCTGCACCGTTTCCCTGCCTTTCCCTCCCCCTACCCCATCTATCCCAATCCAGAGGTGCTATTTGCAGCACATCCTGCCTTCTAGGCACAAAGACCTGGAAAATGAGAGAGGGAAAGCTCACTTTCCCAGTCCTACCACCTGAGATATTTCTATGTAGTGCAAGAAGGGAGGGGTTTAGTTTAACCACACTTCCCCTCCTTACTAATCCCCTGTCTCAGACTATATACTTCAAGTTCTCTGAGGCATCAATAAACTGTTTTTCCTCCTTCTCCTTCCTCCTCACTGCACAACTGGCACCTCAGCCTCTCCTATGGCTTGAAACTCTCAGGTGCTTATCACCAGGCACCTATCAGGCCAGTTTATCTTATTTTGCTTGAAAACAATCCTCTCTAAAGCAATGGCTCTTCCAACCATTTGACCCATGGGACTGTAAAATGGTTGTTATTTACTTTTGCTGCTGTTCTGACCAAGCCTAGTAAAAGTACACAGGGAGATTGGCTCCTAGACTGAACCACTAATCCAGACTGGGTTTGTAGAGTACAACCCTCATTTGAGACAGAATGGAGGTTGCTTTTGAACCGTGCCCTGCTGTTCTTAAGGGCCCTTATGTTGAGCCCAATCACACTGGCAAACAATCAACAGTCCAGCCATGAACCATGGTTTCTCCTCACAGCTTGTTAATAGTTTTAGTTATTATTGTTACATTCCATTTATATCCTGCCTTCTTTTCCTCTGGCAAGGAACCCAAGTCAGCTAGCATAGCTCCATTTTATCTGGACTGGGTGAAAGTCTGTGGCTGGTCCAAAGTCACCCAGTGAGCTCCATGGCAGAGCAGAAACTAGAAGCTGGTTCTCCCGGGTCCCCAGTCCAACACTCCCACACACTAGCTCACGAATCATAGTTTGTCAGTGCAGCTGGGCTCCACAACACAAGCAACCCACATTGCAACGACACCCCAAAGTTCACTTACCATCCACATTTAACCCATATTCAACCTTGAGTGTGGGCTGTCAAAGTGTGTAGACTCAACCAATGGACTCGCAGAGTGGTTGAACTTCAGCACAGGTACCCTGTAATTAAAGAGAAATAGGGTGTGATCTGGAAGAGGGAGGGAATACCCTAGCTCCTACTCAAAGAAGGCCCTTTTTGGGGGATCCCCTTTTCACCCTGTACCACAGCCCACCCTATATATAAGGGCCCATTGGTGCCCTGTGTAGCATTTGCAGGAAGCAAAATGTGGGTTATTAAATTAAATTGTTAAACTATAGCTAAACTTTAAAGGAACACGTTTCCTCAGTTCAGCCACAATGGGAACTCCTTGTCTAACAGCAGAGGTGAATGTGTCCAGTCTCCTCCAGCCATGCTAGAAAAAGAGGGATGAAGAAGCAAATCCAGAATTTGCTACTGTCCCGTATATAATGCTAAACTATTTGCATTATCTGTGAAATAGGTCACTTTATGTAACAAAATTTTTGTCACTTTATGTAACAAAATATTGCATGCAATGTACATACAATGATAAAAGCTCATTCTTCTTCCTGATTAGCTCAACATAGTAGCCTCTTTTCAAATATAAAGAACTGCTTTGACACTTCTGTTTTAACATGAAGCTTTGTCACTGCCAATACCTGTTTTCTATTAGTTGCCCACTTCAGTGTTTCTATGAACGTCTCCCAGCCTTGACCTCTGCAGCTGTCTCATATGTTTACACACTGCACAAGCACAAGAACTTCTCAGGACGAGAATTGCGCAAGCACAAGAACTTCTCAGGACCAAGCTGTTTCGTGGTTTCACGGCCATCCGTCTGTCTAATACATAACTGGCAGGCTGCGGTTTCTCGCTATGGAAGAGGATGCACAGTAAGCAGCCTGCCTCCTGTAGGAAAGTTTGAAGTGTTCCACTGACGGTTGCAAAACAAATGTCTAATAATAACTTTGCAGCAGCCTTTGCCAGTGGGAATACTGGATTCCCCACCAATGAATTTGTTGGCTCTACCTAAGTGAGAGATTATTATTCAGACCATCCTAAAAGGAATACTGAATAGAGACAGCTTAAAAGTAGAAAGGAAAAGGACATAGAAGTGAGAAGGTATGGCAGTTATTGTATCATAGTCTCAGATACACGCAGCCCATTCATTATAGCCTGATTTCTGATCAAACCCGTCTTTGAAATGGCATGAGGCTGGCTCCCCCACTTAGATGCCATTTCATTCTTTTCACCCAGGCAGTCCAGAGGCGAACCGTAATTCTTCTCCTTGAGGCACCATGCCAATGGAAAAATATGACCTGAAGCAGTTCTCATTGGCCGTGCAATGATGAAATTCTAATGTGGGCAGCTGTTTTTCTGGGAACTGCCACTCACCACAGTTTTATTTCACAGTTTTGAATTAATCTTTGCTAAATAAAGCAGTAAAGGGAACAGAGACAGCCTTTGCATTTCCCCCCCAGAGGAGTTGCAGTGAAACAAGAAGGAATATTCGGGCAGAGGGGAGGTGCTTTTTTTTCTTTCTTTTGGAGATGTGATAATTTCACACACACACACCACACAGTCTTACTATGGTGGACAACAGGGGAGGAGTCAGATTATGTCTACTTAGAAGTAAATCCTATTCCATTAAATGTGACTTATTCATAGATAAATGTGCATCATATTGCACTGCATCATAAAGTTTTAGAATATGGCACAGTTCAACTAATCAGCAACAAGAGATTTGAGATAAGAGCATAGTTTACATTTAAAAAAGAGATTTTTATAAGCAATTGCAAAAGCAAAGAGGAACATTCACAGTAAGAGTGCAAAGATAAGTACTTTAAGTATTTCACAGGTAGAGTTAAGTCTTCCCCATCAAAATCAATACCTCTCAGAAACACTTAACTTTTTCTGAAGCATACTCTAAATATTCAAGTAAATGCTTTCTGGAGTAAAAAGTGATATTCTTAAACATTAAAAGAAACAAGAAAACAAAGCACTAAATAAAAATTAATAACTATGAAGAAAATATTAATTGCCATGGAGTAAAATACTTTGCTGTGCAATTTTTGTGCAAGATTGTGTACATTTTTATACACAAACCCTTCATGCAGGCCTAGCTTGTATATAATGACAGCCCAGAGTATGGACTGTTATTGAATCATGGGTTCTCATTATGTGTGACTCCTCCATTATGATTTAACTTTGGATTGTTAACCAAAAACAACCCAGAGTTCACAACCAAACAAGAATTCTTATGTTCTCTTCCTGGGCTGAGAATGGCTAACAATCCATAGTTAAACCATAATTATGCGACAACCCACTATTCATCAACAACTCACCATTCAACAGCAACCCATACACAGCTTAAAGACAACCTCTACTCTGGATTCCCATTATGTGTGAACCAGATCACAGTGTCACATGTGGATTGCCCATCTGTGATGCTGCCTCATGTTACTGTAAATGGTGGGGCATTTAGATTCCATAAACGGGGGTGAGGGAACAGAAAAACAACAGAAAGTCACACATACAGCCTAGCAATTGTGGATTTTACACCCATGATAGATATTTTGTGGAGAATTAAAATGGTCATTCTTTGTCTTGTCCCTCTTTTGCCAGGTAGACCATTTGCTATGGCTCCTCCACCACTTCAGCAGCCGTGCCAAGGTACTGATGGCTACAAGAGAAATAGACTGGCCTTCAGTACAAAAGAAAAAGACTTTATTTGTCCTTTCAAACTTCTGTCTAGATTCTATTGCTGACCCATTTGTGCTGCCCTCTCACCTTGTAGCTCCTAGGGTCGGTTTCTCCAGCAATTACATCTGACAATTAGTGGTTTTGTTAACTGATTAATTTCATCAAAATTAAACAGGATCCAGAGTGCTTTTTTAAAAAAGAAACAAACCCTCTAAAGAGTGATTTCCTATTATCTCTTATTGAGAGAAACACTGGAAATTTTCTTGATTCTTTATTTTCCATGCAATAATTAGTATTATCTTTTCCTTCAGGGTCCTCCTTGTGTGGTTTTTCATGTCTCTTTTTTCTTTCTGTGCCACTCAAGAAAATATCCCTTTTCCTTTTAGCAGAAAGAAAAAACATATTTCCTTAGCTCAGTGGCTGAGCTAAGGCCAGATACAAACCAGAATGCTCTCACTTGTGAGCAGGCCATTTCTCTTATTTTGGGACAGTTCCAGGTCCAGCTTCTTATATTCGGCATGAACCATGTGACTAACTTTGTTCCTGTCATTTAACATTCGCAGTCTTTTTTGTTGGTTTTTTTGCATGGTTCTTCACTTGTGTCAGATGAACTCATCCTCTTCAGTCTGCTTGGAATCGGCATTTTTCAGAAAGCGGATCTTCAGGGAGGAGAACAAAAGAAACAAACTGTGACCAATGCAGCTTCCACTTCACAAGTTGGGACTAGGTTCCTCTCCCTTCACAGTGGCCATTTTGGAAGCAACGGCCTGATAAGGAGGAAGCTTTGCTGCCATCATTTCCATCTTTAGCTGTTGCTGCAGTTACTCTTATCAGTTTGGACGGAGACTTTCCCTTTTATAGGCTGCTCTAGGGCAAAAGTACACTTTAACATGCACGAGACGGGAGAGAATTCTAGCAACTTTCATGGTTTCCTTTCAGGCACATTTCAGTCCCATTTATGCAACCAAGATGGGCATCAAGGGGCAGCAGCAATTCAGAGGAGGCCCTAGATATGCTCCCCTCCTCACCTGCCTCCTCACCTGTCTCTTGCTCTGGCCCTAAGCATGGCAGTGATCACTGCTGGCTTGCTTGATGGCTCCCTACCTGGCAAGCAAGCAGGTAAGAGCAGTGATGAGGTAGAGGAAGAGGAGGTGGGCACAGTGCTGGTGAAAAGGTAGACTTGCTCAATGAAGTTTCCATTGTAGATGTCTTCTTTAAGGGCCTTCAAAGAGTTGGGCATATTGAGTGCATGGAAGGGTCAGGATCATGGTATGGTGGTGGGACTCTCTGGAGACCAGAAAAGATGTGGCTCTGCCAACAAGTGTGAGGGCAAGAACAGGGCCTGCTGCTGCACACGTGAACCTAACTGCAGTGATACTCACTCTAAGAGATGCTTAAGGAATTAAAGCTGTACAGTTGTTGATACAGACTGGCATGATCTGCACTTCTTGGATGGATGTGCTGATCAGAATATAGTTATTTATTACATTTTGCAGTTCTCCAGATGTTGAGACATGGTTCTCAGTTCAAAAAGCATGCCAAAGTGAAAAATATATTTTGGAAAAAAGTTTAGAAATGCCTATTTTGAGGGATTTTACTTTAGGAAAGGATAGTTAAATACCTAAATGAAAACTTTATTGAGTATTAAACACTGGTTGTAGACTCACGTGAAAAACTTGAAGCAGAAAGAAGGGATTTATGAGTGGATACATGAGATAGTGACATGGACTGGAAATAATCTGATTTGTCCATCCTTAATACTCTTCTTAAAAGCACTTTGTTGAATATTGATAATATGGATGGATTGTATAGAACAGCTCCTCCCAGCCTGGTGCCTTCCTGATGTGAAATCTCCCATCATTTTGGAGGGTTGATGTTAGACTTTAGGATAGATCACTATTTCATCTTCTATCATTCTAAGTTGAATGCAGCTTCTGGTTGTATAGACAATAGCTAGACATCTTCAGTTGCAACAGTGGCATCCACTTTGGATGTCATCCCTGCAAACTGTTGCACTATCTAGTTTAAACAGAGATCTACTGCTTTGTTTCACCTAAAAAATGCATACAAAATAATTGTTGCATTGATTGTTCTGATTCTGCGCAGGAAACTCAACCAGTTCTTCACAAAAGACAAAAAGGAAAGTCCCCTGGACTCCATCTTAAACCTGAAGCTAGCTAGACAACTGCCCCTTTCCTACTATACCCTGCTTACCACAGTGACAGTAGATGTGATCTCAGTATTTGGATAATGCACCGTCAGTCAAGAGAGCAGTTTCGAAGGTGCTAGTGCACACATGGATTTGTGGTACAGAATCTCCCTCAATAAAGATCAACTGAGGTGTTGGTGACACTCCACCTCATTTTGTAACATTTGTATTGGAGCATCTCAAGAAAAACTGACGTGATGCTCCATCTGCATTCTGCTTTTGGTCATGACAAAAGGAGAAAACAAAGATGAAGCTCATTTATTCAGCCAAAGATGAGATCACAGATAAGACTTACAAGCTTGTGAAGGTACTGAGTTTTCCTGGCGACAGTGAGACCTACAGTTACGCATTAATTGTCAAACACACAGCTGGTGCTCAAATGATATTAGCTGATGACAATATATTGCAAGGGGTCAAAGCCAGTGTTTCCTTCCTGAAACAGCCACATGAAGACTGTGGGATAATTCTTCATTCTTCTTACCCATGTCAAGTCTGAATGCTTCCCAATATCTGAATGCTCCCCAAAATGCTACCAGGGTATATTCAGCTATACATGAGTTTGTAGAAAGGAAATACCATTGAAGCATAAATCCAGATCTAATGGCAGAAAGTGAAGAGGAACTAAAGAGCCTCTTCATGTAGGTGAAGGAGGAAAGCGCAAAAGTTGGCTTGAAACTCAACATTAAGAAAACTAAGATCATGGTATCTGGTCCTACCACTTCCTGGCAAATAGATGGGCAAGAAATGGAGGTAGTGACAGATTTTATTTTCCTGGGCTCAAAGATTACTGCAGATGGTGACTGCCACCATGAAATTAAAAGACGCTTGCTCCTGGGGAGGAAATCTAGACAGCATACTAAAAAGCAGAGACATCACCCTACTGACAAAAGTGCATATAGTCAAGGCTATGGTTTTGCCAGTTGCAATGTATGGCTGTGAAAGTTGAACCATAAGGATGTCTGGGTGCCAAAGAATTGAGCCCTTTGAAATGTGGTGCCGGAGAAGACTCCTGCGAGTCCCTTGGACTGCTAGGCGATCAAACTGGTCAGTCCTAGAGATCAACCCTGACTGCTCTTTAGAAGGT